GAGGAGGAGGAGGTGGAGGAGGAGGAGGAATACCAATATTAAGATTAATACTACTAGTCCTGCGCATAATGAGACTAACACAAAGAGTAAGACGACTACTAGGACCAATGCAACTAATCATACGGATACTACTATTTAAACTAGCAAGAATAAAGCGGCTAACACGGATGATATTAATACTGGGAATACTACGACGAATATTACTATTCAGAAGACGATGGCTAATAACAATACGAGGAGGAGGAGGCGGATGAGGAGGAGGAGGAGGAGGAGGAGGAGGAGGAGGAGGAGGAGGAGGAGGAGAGGAGGGGGGGAGGAGGAGGATGAAGAAGAGGATGAGGAGGAGGAGGATGACGAGGAGGAGGAGGAGGAGGAGGCGGAGAAGGACGAGGAGGCCGAGGAAGAGGAGGACGAGGAAGAGAAGAAGAAGGAGGAGGAGTATGCGGAGGAGAGAGGAGGAGGAGGAGGAGGAGGAGGAGGAGGAGGAGGAGGAGGAGGAGGAGGAGGCGGAGGACATCTCAGGAGGAAGAGGGGGAGGAGGAGGGATGATGAGGAGGGAGGAGGAGGAGGAGGAGGAGGAGGAGGAGGAGGAGGAGGAGAGGAGGAGGAGGAGGAGGAGGAGGAGGAGGAGGAGGAGAGGGGGAGGGGGAGGGGAGGAGGAGGACTTGAGGCCGATGCGCGCAAGTCGAGGACGAGCGGGCAGGAGGAGGCGAGGAGGAGGAGGAGAAGGAGGCGGATGAGGATAAGGAGGAGGAGGAGGAGGAGGAGGAGGAGGAGGAGGAGGAGGAGGAGGAGGAGGAGGAGAGTGAGGGAGGGGGAAGGGGAGGAGGGGGGGGAGGAGGGAGGAGGAGGAGGAGGAGGAGGAGGAGGAGGAGGAGGAGAGGAGGAGGAGGAGGAGGAGGAGGAGGAGGAGGAGGAGGAGGAGGAGGAGGGGAGGAGGAGGAGGAGGAGGAGGAGGAGGAGGAGGAGGAGGAGGAGGAGGAGGAGGAGGAGGAGGAGGGGAGGAGGAGGAGGAGGAGGAGGAGGAGGAGGAGGAGGAGGAGGAGGAGGAGGAGGAGGAGGAGGAGGAGGAGGAGGAGGCGGAGGAGGAGGAGGAGGAGGAGGAGAAGGAGGAGGAGGAGCAGGAGGAGGAGGAGGAGGAGGAGGAGGAGGAGGAGGAGGAAGCGGAGGAGGAAGCGGAGGAGGAGGGGGAGGAGGAGGAGGAGGAACAGCAATCATATTTTAAGAAGAATCATACAACGAATACCAATAATAATGATACTCATAAGAATGATATTAAGAAGAAGGGGAAGGGAAGGAGGAGGAGGAGGAGGTGGAGGAGTGGAGCCCAGCGGCGCCACTGTGCTCTTTTTCGCGCTGTGGTGGGGGCGCGCGGCCTCGGCCTGGCAGCAGTCCTGCGTGATATTGGGTGCCCGAGAAGACAAACCATCCTTCCTTTGTCTTCGCCCCTCTTCTGACGGTTCTCCTACTCTCTCCTGCTCGCCAGCGCGTTTCCTCTCCTCCCACTCCCCGTCCATGAGCTCTCTTGCTCTTCGTAGCATTGTCTTAAACAGCCTCACAGACACACTGTGGTGCCTTCAATGTCGCGTCGCGTTGTGGGACTCTTACGCAATCGTGTCCAGTCGCTCACACCCGGCCTCTACGCAGGTTGCTCATAGAGTTGGGCCGTTCGAATTCGGGTTTGCTCGTGCGCGGATTAATCGATGTGTCATTTTTTTCCCGCCCAATTTGCACATCAGTATAACATGTCCGCCACCATCGTATATTCGTTTATACTCGGCTGCGCACCTCTTCCTGGCCCAATCGAATTCGCACCTGCCCGGCCATACCAACATTATCGCTCGCGCATGTTCGTGTTCTTCAGGCTTGTTCGTTCCTCTTTGTGCCCTTGTCGTGCAAACTCGTACTGCCAGTGGAAGAGCCATTCGCGCGTACTCGCGCCCGCCGGAATCTCAATTCTAAGTCGCGCGGTCCCATATCCAATTTGTATTCGGTCGTGCCTACACAAAGCTGTATCGTAAAGGCTTGGCGTGCAGCCAGTTCTGCCCACCCTACGGAGAGGTGAGGAGGCAAGGGCCAGTGGCGGCTTCAATGTGGGAGCGCCAATCTCATGGCCTTCGGGCCCACCCCGCCATTGCGCTTGGTTGTGTTTAAGAGGTTTTGGGACATTTTGAGGCATTTGTTTGGATGATTTTTTGGGGGGTGTTCCTGGGGGCCTGGGTGGCCTGCTTGGGTGCGTCTTAGGGCCTCTGGAAGCCCCGTTCGGGCCCCTGGGGGGTCTTGGGATCATGTTGGAGGGGCTTCTTTTACCCATGCCCATTCTCCTCGACCATCATCCGCACGCTTTGATCTCCAAGGGCTCACTATCACGCGAGCCAGGTACCACATTCGCGTTTGTAATGCCGCGGCGTCGGTCTGCGAGCGCCCACGCGGCGCCAAGGAACGCGTGCCTTGATGATCGTCTTCGTTCAGTGTCGTCTGGTAGCAAATCATGGGAGCTTGGTGTATCCTATTAGTTCTGCCGTTAGCGTCGATTAGCGTCGATTAGCGTCTGGGAGTGGATGAGATAGCGCCGACTTAGCGTCGGTTAGCGTCGATTAGCGTCGATTTAGCGTCGATTAGCGTTGAATTCAGCGTCGACTAGCGTCGATTCGCAAGAGCCGACAAGATGGTATGGGAGGCTCCCATGAGTTGCCACCGAAAGCTCGTGGCCCGCTGGTTGGGTCCTGCTGCCGACCTTCCGCTGGGGGGGAGGTGTCGTGGTGAGAACAGAGCCCAGGCCGTGGCGGAAGTCTTGATCGGACTCCTCGCCTGGACCTCCCCGCATTCGGGATCTGTCGTTGAGGTCTGCACGATCGATCTCTGCCCTGCCAGAGCTCGGGGCCTCGGTGTCCTGTCCGCGTCGCGCGCCTGGCCCCAGGCAGCGGCAGGCTGCTCCGGGCGCGCTCGACTCCAGGCGCCGCCGTTCCCATCGCCGCGCGCCGTGTGGGAGATCCGGAGGTGTGGGCGCAGCCGAGTCAGCCTGGCGAGAGTTGCTGGGGACCTGTGGTTTGGAGAGGACATCGGCCGCAGAGCACAGTCAACCCGCACGGGAAGGATTGGCAACCGTCCCAAGGGTACCCTTGCATCCTTGCCTCCCCGTTCCATCCTTGGCCACTTTCATTGGCCGCGCCCCGCTGGAAGAGCTTCGGAATGGGCGTCCCAGGCCCTGGCATCCTTGCCGCGCATCCTTATGATACGGGCCGTCGGTACAGCTGGATCGATGCACGTTTGAGAGGCGCGCCCACGCCACGGGTGGTTGCCGTATGGCGTGGGGGAGGGCGGAGGGTCCTGTGCACTCGGGCGGTGGCGGGGAGTGGCGAGGGAAGCGACGCTGGGGTCGGAGTTGAGAGCGTACATTCGGGGCGTTGACCTAAGGAAACCTAAACAGGGAACGAGGCCCCTTTTTTCCATAAGGTAACCTTCGATTTCCTGTCGAAAACATAAGGGAAGCCTGAGGCAAGCTGTGAATCACTTAAGGAACGCGGAGGCCCTCCCCAACGAAAAATGTTCCTTCTTCAGGGCCCCGACTGTAAGACCAAAGTGTCACGGAGTGATCCCCACCGGGAAGTCGGCTCTGGGTCGATCCATGCCGTGCGCGCGGCGTGCAGGCGGAGCAAAGTTGGCTTCGCTCGGAGCGGGCCTGGCTTCCAGCTCCCTCCTGCCCGCGCCGGGCGTCCCTCCACTTTCCTCCGTGCATTTGTTGCGACTTAAATTCGCATTCGTATGTCCTACTGATGCTCTTCCGCCAGCGCAGTCACTCTGCCTAGCCGCCGACGCAAAACGTGTGTGTGCGTGTGCGGGCAAGGGGTTCACTGGCCACAGCTTGGGGCACGTTCGACAAGCACGCCTCTTCTCCACGTCGGCTGCGGGGCCCGTCCGTGCGCTCGCCGCGTGCGGTTGCTCGGCGCAGTGGCCCCCGTGCGAGCGTGTCGCGCGGTTGCCCCGCGCGGTTGTGGAGCTGATCCGCCGAGCCAGTGGTCGAGCGGGTGTGGGCGCGTCTGGTGAGCGCCTTGAGGCGCAGTGGGATGTGATTGCAGAGTTTTCGAAGTTTTGTCAGCGTTCCTTCAAGCACTGGGCGCCGTGTGCACGCCTCATTCGTCACCGCCGCTCGGATCTACCCGGCGAGTGGAAGACGGTTGCTTCGTATCCTACCTTTGTCGTGGACACGGGGAAGCAGCTTGTCCGGCCGAGTCGGTGTCGAAAGAGCAGTTTCGATCGCGTGGCCTGCATCCGGGGCTGCGGTTGCAAACCAAGGAATGGTCGTTCTTGCTCTTCTTCCTCCCATTCCTCTCCAGGGGGGGTCTCCAAGAGCGTCGCAGGGTTTTTTTAGAAGTTGTCATGGGGTCACGTAGGTGTCTGCCTGTCCCTGGGACGCCAGTCGGAGCCTTCCCGCGAGATTCGGAGAAGACCTCCGCGAGGTCTTCTGGAGCCTGGTCACTGCTGCTGCTCCTTCTCTCCAAGTGCCTCCTCCTCATCATCTCCCTCATCCTCGACTTCTCGTCCTCCTTTCTCCTCGTTCTGCAGCTGCTCCTGATCCTGATCCTCCTTTTCCTCCCGCCTTTCCTCCTCCTCCTCCTCCTGCTCCTGCTGCTCCTCCCTTCCGCACTTCCTCTTCTTTGTCTCCTCATCCTCCACTTGCTAGTGCTTCTTTTCACCTTGCTGCTGCCATATCCTACTGTTCCTCCTCCTTTCCCCCCTTTCTCCTGCCTTCTCTTCCCTGGCTTCTTCCTCTTACCCAGCTTACCCATGCGATTCCTGCCTCCATTCAGTGTCTGCATGTGCTCTCAGAAGGTAGATCCAAACCGCGGCATTGAAAGCGTTCAGTCGTGGGATTGACAGCGCTTAGCTGGAGAAAGATGACACCACGCAGCAACACCTTCTATGATAGCACGCTGTGATACCACGGTAGTCGTGTGATGTCACAGCTAGTTGCTATCGTAACAATGAATTTTCAGGTCCCGCAGCGTGGTGTGACAGCGTAAGGTCACATGGTGGGGCCTGGAGAGGAGTGGGCCCAGTCAAAAGCGAGCGGAGCGAGTCCGAGGTCGTGCGAGACGAATCCGTAGCGAGCGGTGCGAGTCCGAAGCCCGGGTCAAGTCCTTGACGTAGTTGTGCGAGCCTGCGGAGTAGCGGTTGGGGTCATAACAGTAGTGCTGCGAGTCCTGAGGGTACTCCAGATTTCGTAATAAAAGGGAGGGGGTCGCAACCCTCTCAGACCACAAGTTTTAGACCCCCCCAGACCATCCATGAAAGGGCGGCACTTTGCCCAGACCCCCCCTAACCCTTCAAGACAGCTCAAATCAGACCCCCCCGCCAAATGTAACCCCCCCATACTTTATTATGGAATCCGGAGTAGCGGCACCAGCCCGAGCAGTGGTGCGAGTTCGAAGTGTAACGGTGCGAGTCCGAGGAGTAGTGGTGCGAGTCCGTGGCGTATATGAAGCGTAGCTGCTTGAGCCCGTGGCGTAGCGGTTCGACTCTGAAGGCAGCGGTTCGATTTTGGAGCGTAGCGGTTTCAGTCCGTAGCGTGGCAGGTCGTTTCCGAAGCGTATCGGCTCGAGTCAATAGCGTAGCGACACAGGTGTAATGGATCGAGTCCGAAGCGTACGGGTTCGAGTCCGTAGCGGAGCGATTCGAGCTCGTAGCGTAACGATTCGAGGCCGCATCGCAGCGGTTCGGGTCCGCTGCATATGGGTGCGAGTTCGAGGCGCAGCGGCTCGAGTCCGCAGCGTAGCGTTTCGCTTGTGTAAGCGGTTCCGTTTCGAGTCCGTTGCGCATCGACCAGTGTCCGTAGCGCAGGGAGTTGATCCCGCAGCGTAGCGGTTTGGACCTGCAGCGCAGCGATTTGACCTAGTAGTTTGACGATTCGGGTCCAAGGCGCTGCGTGGCGAGTCCCTACGTATCCTGGCGGTTCGAGCCCACATCGCGGCGCGGACAGGAAAGTTCCGAGCCCCCCAGCGTCGGGTCTCAGCGACGTGTCACCACCGTGCAGAATTGCGGGTTCCGCAGCGTGGTGTCACAGCTTTTGGTTGGTCGAGCCTGCAGCGCCCAGGGTACGAGGCGCACCGCCAGGCGTCTGCGGGGTGGAGCTTCGAGCCCGTGGAGCTGTGGGCCCCGCGGCGCCTCGCCACAGCGTGCCATTCCGCAACGCGGTGTCGCCAGGTGGACTCGCTGGTTCAATGGAGCGTCAACGTAGCAGTCCCAGAGTCGTGTCACAGCGTGGTGTCAGTCGCCGCGCGGTGTAATGGCTCGGCGTCGCAGCGCAGTGTGGCTTCACTGCGCGGGGTCAGTCGCAGCGAGGTCTCACATCGTGGTTTCGCTATCCCACGGATGAGCGCTGTCAACCCCGCGGTTGAAGTCAACCCTCCCGCTCTCCAGGCCATGCAACCATTACGATGCTTGTGGCTCTCTTACCGCTTACTCCTTGTACTATTACGTATTGCCGTGTTTTTCTTCGGTATCCACGGCTTCCTTTTCTCTGCAATCGGAGTGTGCAATGACATCCTGCACATGCCATTTTGCCAAGGCTGAGCACGTCTAGGTCTACAGTGCCATCTCTGCTACCTGCAGGCTGCGCAGCACCAGTCGTCCGCTCGGTCGCTCTTGCTTTCATCATTCCCGCCATCTTTCAGCTGCCTGCGGCGAACCCCGCCACTTTGCCAGAGTAGCGTTGACATCCATGCAGGGTGGCTACATCGATTTCCCGAGCAGGCTCGGCAGTCTGGGCGCCAGCGCAACAGGGTGCTGAGGTGTGCCGCGGCTGCAGCGTTGCATGATTGTTATGCTCTGGGCTTTCTGGAGGTTTCTTTCTGCCTTCTTGAGGCCTTTTGGGGTCCTCTTGGGCCCTCTCAGGGTCCTCCTGGGGACCTCTGGAGAGCCTCTTGGGGGTCATCGGGGGGTCGGGGGGCCATCTTGGGCGTGATTTCTACCGAGGCTCGGAAAACCATATTGGGACCGTCAGGGAAAGTCTTGGGACAGTCTTCGAGCCTTTTTGGGTTGGTCCCCGGCCGTCCGGGGGTTCTCAGGCCATCTGGGGGCCGTCGCGTGTCGCTCTTGAGGCAGTCTTGATCGCTCTCTGAGGCTTCCTGAGGTTGATGCTCTGCAATGTTTTTGGCCTCCCAAGGCCCCCTGGGCCCCCTCCCCAGACATCTGGCGTCTCGAAAAAATCGGGACACAAGTTTTTCATCCTCTTCGGACTTTCGGGGCCCTCACTGGGCCTCGAGACCGTCAGAAAAGGAATCGGGATGACGAGCCGGTCGCGGGGAAGTGGTCGCGAGGTCGGGGGCCCATGTCTCGAACAAATCGGGACGCCGGATGTTTGGGTCCGGAGGCTTCTTGGGCGCCTCATGGGCGCTTCGTGGGGTGTCCTGCAGTCTCGGGGGGGGGGGTCTTGGAGACCCTGGGGGGTTCGTTTGGCTTCTGTCTCGAATGCCGAGGCCCTGTCTGACCTTCCTATGGCCGAGCTTTGGCCAGTCTCAGGAGGGAGGATCTCTCTGACCAGGGTCTGCTGAGAGGGCGGGGTCGCCCCTGGACAAATTGCAAGCACTCTACAACTCAGCCAGGTGGATTGTCGAGGGCCTTCTCCATTTCGCAGTCTGAATTGATGCTCGTGTCAAAGCTGGGCGTGGCAGGCTGCAAACACATACACCAGTTCTGCTTGATGAGTTCGCCCTCAAGCCGTCCTGACGCATGGAATATATCCGGCCTTGGGAAGTGTGATCACGCTATAGGCTCCGTTTGCGATCTGCATCCGTACTGACAGGCCTTGCGCTTGCTGCGCCGGCAGCTAGCAAAGGTGGCATCAGACTTTGTCGGCGATCCTAGTTTCGACCGCTGCGTGGCGCAAGCGGGCAGCCGCCGAAAGTTGTTGTTGCACCGATGGCATATATATGTGTATATGTATGTATGTATGTATGTATGTATGTATGTATGTATGTATGTATGTATGTATGTATGTATGTATGTATGTATGTATGTATGTATGTATGTATGTATGTATGTGTGTGTGTATGTATGTATGTATGTATGTATGTATGTATGTATGTATGTATGTATGTATGTATGTATATATGCATGTATGCATGTATGTATGTATGCATGCATGCATGTATGCATGATGTATGTATGTATGTATGTATGTATGTATGTATGCATGCATGCATGCATGCATGCATGCATGCATGCATGTATGTATGTATGTATGTATGCATGTATGCATGCATGCATGCATGCATGCATGTATGTATGTATGTATGTATGTATGCATGCATGCATGCATGCATGTATGTATGTATGTATGTATGTATATATATGTATGTATGTATGTTTGTTTGTATGTATGTATGTATGTATGTATGTATGTATGTATATATATATAGATATATCCCCAGCGAAGATTTTGCGAGCCGAATTGCTTCAGACACTTGTGTGCATCCCCAGGTAAGGGCAAGTCTTTGTTGCTCCCACCACGCCCTTACCTGGTCCACTTCTCTCACCACCCACTGGGGAAACGTTCAGCACCATGTGAGAGATAACAATCAAGCTAGGACAAGAGCATGCTTGGCTGCAGAGTATATGCGGGAGGTGCTTTGAGAGGCCACGGAACGATGAGAAAACACTCGTCGGGCAACCGAGCGAAGGGGACAAGTCGGAGATTGCCTGACCCGTCCGTGCAGCCAGTGCATGCCACGTGCGATATGTTCGGGCAGCCAGATGCATGCCGCTCAGGATCAGGGGGGAATACAGAAATCCCGAAGATATGGGAAAATGTGGGGAATCCTTCTATTTGTGTGTATTTATCCGTAAGGGCTTCGCCCCCTGCCGCCGGCCCCTTCTCTCGGAGAATGGGCCATGGAAGAGCTAAGTCATGAGGCCTTGGCGCTGTCGTGAAGCAGTATCGAAACTTCATGCGAAGCCGATTCGCAATCAGCAAAACCAACTGATCACAAGAGGGGTTACCACACCTGGCGATTGGTAAGACGTGTATGGTTTACGGGCTTGGTTACCACACCTTGCGATTAAAGGGCCGAGGGAGTTCTCGCAGTTTGGGTTACCACGCCTTGCGATGGATGTGCGTGAAGGGTGGCACCGAATTTCAGAAATGTGGCAAATCCCATGTGTTTTTGGACCCTGACCCCGCGGATCTGCGTAAGGGGCGGCGCCGAATTTCAGAAATGTGGCAAATCCCTCGTGTTTTTGGACCCTGACCCCGCGGATCTGCGTGTTTTTGGACCCTGACCCCGCGGATCTGCGTGAGGGGTGGCACCGAATTTCAGAAATGTGGCACATCCCCTGTGTTTTTGGACCCTGACCCCACGGATCTGCGTGAGGGGTGGCACCGAATTTCAGAAATGTGGCAAATCCCTTGTGTTTTTGGACCCTGACCCCGCGGATCTGCGTGAGTGGTGTTGATTTCGAGCCCCCCCAGCAATTCAGACAACGCGCCCAGGGGGTGCTAAAAAGCCGGTTTGGGCCTCTCCCCCCCTCGCGCGGACAATCAACTAGTTACAGTAATCAGCAATAAGTCAACTAGTTACAGTAACCAGCAAGAAGCAGAACTGTAACACTGGAAACTACAAGCTACAACTGGTACAGGAAACTGCGAACCTCGCTCCTACAGCCTGGTGGCCCCACAAGGGGGCCGGCGGATTTGTGTGGCCCAGGGCCCCTTCACAGGAGAGGGGGGAGCGCTGATGGGTCGGGATCCCGGGCGCCGGGCGGGCCGTGCCCCTGTTCGGCGGCTCCCCCGCCCCCCCCAGCTCCGCCCGCCTTCCCTGCCGCTCCCGCCGAGCATCCTTCACTCCGCCACGCCCTTCCCGCCCGCTCGATATACCCTGCCGACGATGTGCTCCCTCCCCACTTCCCCCTCCCCCGTCCTATATCACTCGACTAGACGTAAGAGTGACCTTTCGTCAGAGTGACCTTTAGAGCGGGCACTGATGGGCCCCCAGATGGCCGAACGCGAAGCGGTAGCAGCGGCTAGCGCGCCTAGATTTGGCCTCCCCGCGCCCCCCCAAAGGGCGCGCACCAAAGGTCACTCTTACCCAGGGTCACTCTTACGTTTAGCCGAATCACTCCCGTCGACATCCTCCCCTCACGTACCACTCCTCCCGGTCATTCTCACCCCCCTCCCCTCCCGTCCGACGTCCTCCCTCCCGCTCCGACCCCCCGCCCGCCCTTCCCTAAGGCCCGCCCTCCGTCCGTCGCCCGCCCTGCGCCCAGCGGGGCCTCCTCTCCTCGTTTTCCTCGTCCTCGTCTCGTTCGTCTTGCTGCTCGTCGTCGTCGTCGTCGTCGTCGTCGTCGTCGTCGTCGTCGTCGTCGTCGTCGTCGTCTCCCTCCTTTTCTGTTGCCTCTCTCTGCCGATCCTGGAGCCTCCCCCTCCCTGAGCCCGACGGGGCCCTCCACCCGCTCTTCCCGCTCCCCCAGCTCGCCCCGCTCCAGCTGCGGAGTCTCGCCGCCGCTCCCCTCGCTGGGGGAGGGGCGCACGCCGGAAGAGGGCGGGAGGAGCGCTCCCCGCCCCCGCCCCCGCCCCCGTGCCCCCCCCCCCCCTCGCGAGGCCAGACGCCCGTCATCACCGGGGACAGCAGGCAGCCTGCGCAGGCGACGGAGGCGGGGCGAGGGGGGGGGGGGGGCTTCTTCGGCCCCGCGGAGGTCCGATGCGATGGCGCATGCCCTCCTCCTGCCTGTGCCCTCCGCCCCTCCCCTTCTGTTCCCCGTCCCCCGTTCGCCGCCGCCGTCGTCGTAGTCGTCGTCGTTGTCGTCGTCGTCGTCGTCCTCGTCGTCGTCCTCGTCGTCGTCGTCGTCCTCGTCGTCGTCGTCGTCGTCGTCCTCGTCCTCGTCCTCGTCCTCGTCCTCGTCCTCGTTCTCGTTCTCCTCCTCCGCCTCCTCTCACCACGATGGCTCGACGCCCCCCGAAGTTCTCGACTCCCGTGGCCTCCAGCAGGCTTTAAAAAGCCGGCCACTCCCAGAGGGCACCGCGCGCGCCCGCCGGCGCGAGCAGGCGGCCCAGGGAAGGGGCGCGTCGGAGGCAGAGGCGGTGGAGCCTCCCCCCCGCACTCGTCCGAGGGCGGGGGGAGGAGCAGCGGCGCCGAGGGTGCTTTCACCACCCACCAAACCACCCCAGCCCAACCCGAAGGCCTCAATCTGCCCCCCATTTCCAGGGGTGGGGGGGGGGGGGTTCGGGGAACATTGACAAAAACACAGGTGGAACCCTTACCCCCCCCCCCAACCCGAAATTCGGGTTTTCGGGTTGGGTTGGGGTGGTCTGGTAGGTAGTCAGCGCTGCCGCAGACGGGCCGCGGAGGAGGGAGAGCTGGCGGCGCGGGCCAGAGCACCGTACTGACCTGCGTTCGGGTTTAAGTCGGGCGTGCCCCTCGACAGGAGGAAGATTGGAGAACAGTTCAAACATAGTCAGGGTACGATTTTCGTGCTCTTTAAAATGATATTTTGACTGCTTTTGGACTAACTCTCATTTTCTTCAAAACTCCACCTGTAGGAGGGCATGCAGTAGGTACGGTAGGCAGTCATTCAGAAGAGCTGCGACGACGCACTCCGCGCAGGAGACCCCGGCGGCTGCCGGAGCAGAGCACGCCCCGCCGGGGGAAGCGCCGCCCCCGCGGGCCAGGCAGAGCGCAGGGCTCACCTCAGGAGGGGAAAAAACACACAGACACAATCAATCGTCGATCCCCCAGCCAGAAGATAAGGGAAAAAATGGGAAGTGGTGGGGAAGGCAAAAACCCAGAAAATATAGGAAAATATGGGGAATCTTTTTTTGTTGTGTGTATTCATTTGTGTGTCCCAGGGCCCCTTCATCACCGCAGAGCGCAGCGGCGCTCGAAGGGGGGCGCGAGCACTCCCGCGGAGCAGGAGCTGGCTCGAGCGCCGCCGCGCTCTCGCTGCCGATGAGGTTTCGGTGGGCGGTGGCTCAGAAGTGGAGCGTCTGCCGATCCCGCTCTACCCGGCCTCGTCGCCACGGCCGGGTTCGTGGAAGTTCCTTGCCGGACCGCACTGCTGGAGGGGTCGGTGGAGCAGCGGTGCCGCTTCCCGTCGGCGCTCCCAGTGGCACAGCAGTGCTTCGCTGTTGGCGTTCGCTGGCACTGTTTTCGCCCTGCGGCGCTCGCTACTGCTCGAGCGGCATGGCGGGCTTTGAAGATCTGTTCAGTCACATAGTGCCAATGTATGTATGGACATACAGCTGTATCCATACACATATATATATATATATATATATATATATATATGTAGGTATACATCTGTGTATGCATGTGTGTATATATGTCTGTCTGTCTGTCTGTCTGTCTGTATGCATGCATGCATGCATGTGTGTATGTATGTATGTATGTATGTATGTATGTATGTATGTATGTATGTATGTATGTATGTATGTATGTATGTATGTATGTATGTATGTATGTGTGTGTGTATGTATGTATGTATGTATGTATGTATGTATGTATGCATGTATGCATTGGTGCATGCATGCATGGGATGTATGTATGTATGTCCTATATGTTTGTATATATATATATATATACACATGTATACATTTGTATGTATACATACATATATATATGTGTGTGTCCGGCTTCACCTTGCGCATGTCTGAGGGGTGAGTTCCAGGCGGCGCTGATGACGACCACGACGGTTGTGGCCAAGAGGGCGACGAAAAGCGATGCGGAGGAGGGGGACAGAGGAAGAAGCTCAGGAAGAAGGGGGCCAGAAGCATAACGCAGGAATCCGTGTGCCCGCCCCGAGGCGCCCTACGGCCTGCCGCAGATCTACCCTCAGCTCGTCATGTCTCTGGTGGGGACGGCTGCGATCCCTCTCTGTTGGCCTCCTTCGCCTTCTCCTAATCGCCATCGTCAACACTGTCAGCGTCAACGACTGCAGCCTGTACATAATCGCTTCTGGCTCAGGCCGTTACTTCCAGACTCCTGTCAGCAGAGGGGCCCGAACTGGGAAGCATCTCTATGTTGTTGCTGCCTCGTAACACAATTTCTTACATAGCTTGCCATGATGCACGTGGTGAGCTCTGGTGTTCTGTGCAATGTCTGCTCGGTGATCCATAGTGGACTGTTTCCCTGATGCGGCGTTTGTTCGGGCTGCTCGGACCTCTGGATGCCGCTGGAGGCCTCTGCCAGGCCGGCGCCATACTGGCATCCAAGTTCGGTGCGATCGAAAGGGATACGACAAGAACGGGTACGAGTTGTCGGTGTCGCCGCGGACGTTGTCCATTTGAGACAGAAGTCCACCTCTCCAGCAGCGGCTGCTGTCGGTTTTGACATGATCTGTTGTGGGGCATCGTGCCAATCTTTCCCGTACCCATTTCGGGCGTCCAAACAAGTGAAGCCTCGCCTCCTTGGGTGTTGCTAATCGTTGTAGGTGGGTTGCCAGTGTTTTTTTGGTTTGTTCGTTTCTTTGCTTGCTTGCTTGTTTGTTTATTTGTTTGTTTGTCTGTGTGTGCGTGTGTGCGTGTGCGTTCCTCGCGCTCCGGTGGTCACTTTGGAACGGCTTTGGCTGAGCCTGGCACTCGACGCTCGAAGGTGTGAGTGTGTGTGTGTGTGTGTGTGTGTTTGTGCTTGTGTGGCTGTCTCTCTCTCTCTCTCTCTCTTTCTCTTGTGTGGACATGGCCCGTACACATTCGACTTGCGACAGTGGTGCCGCTTCGCTGGCAGAGTCTCCCTGTCTCCCTCCCTCTCTCTCTCTCGCCACACGCCCCTCCTGCGGTCTCTCAGGTTGTCGTCTTGCACCGCCAGTGCCGCTTTCACACGGATTTCCATTCTGAGGCTGACTATCAGCCTGATCTCTCGCTCATTCTCTCGTTCTCGCTCTCCCCTTCGCTCTCTCCCTCTCGCTGTCCCCCTCGCCCTAGATCTTCCACATCTCAGCTTATCCCTCTCCCAAGCTTCAACAGCCAAGCCATTTTTTTGTATGCTTGCACAGGGTGACCGTCTCTTCAATTGAACGGTCTATTATTCTGCTTTTGCGTAGCACACCCGGGGAGTCCGAGCCGCGATTCTTAAGTGAATACTCCACGCCTAGCTTATGCGGTATCGTGGATGGTATCGCGGATTGAGCAAGGCTGCTGGGTTAGCCGCACGTGCAAAAATCCCTGCCGACGGCCAAAAAAGGGAGAAGAGTGGGTGACTGCCCCCCAACCGACACTTCCCCCGACCCAGCGCCAGCGCGGCCGCCAGGCCCCAGTGGGCCCGGTGCTTCCTGGGGATCCCGCCTCGTGGACGAGCACTCGGGTGTTGCTAGAAGTGCCCCTGGCCCAGGGTGCCCTCAGGATTTCCAGGGATGCCCCACGGCCTCCAGAGCACCCTCCACGAGGCCCAGAGGGCCCCAGGGGCTTCAAAACTTGGCGAAAAGCTGGGGGCACCTTGAGCCAGGGGCACCTTTAGCAACCCCCGAAACACGTGCAAGAGAGGGGGGAAGCGAGGAACACTCCGCTTCGGGACAGCTCCTCCAGCTGCAGGGGGCCCCGCGGCGCGACAGCATGAAGACGTGATATTCTGTATATCAGGGGAGACACAGGCCTTACCAGCCTCGAACGTATCCCTATCCCTAAGATTGACACGCCAAAAGGCGACGACAATCTTAGGGATTCGCCCTCAAAAAATAAGGGAATCCCTCAGATTGGCAGCGTGATGAGGAGGTGCCCAGCATAGGGATAGGGACATGCTCCAGGCTGGTAGAGGCCACCGCCACCGAGGACCCATCGGGGGTGGCCGGCCCCCAGGCGGGGGGCTCTCGACGGCGGCGGTCCTTCTTTTTTCTCTGACTGGTTTTGGCGGCGCGCAGAGGGGGGTAAGGGGAGGGGGGAAGGCTTCTTAGAAGCACCCTGCTTCTTAGAAGGCCTCGGCCTTACGTCTACAGAGAAGGCCCGCGCCTTCCAAGAAGCAGGGGTGCTTCTAAGAAGCCTTCCCCCCTCCCCCTACCCCCCTCTGCGCGCCGCCAATGATTAGGAGAAGCTCGGATCAGGCGACTCGGGATGGCCAGCCAGCGGCAGCGCACGCGCGTCTGGGGGGGTTGGGCGAGGCGCACACCCGCTTGGCCGTCCCAGCGGAGCTGCGACTCCTCTTCTGATGCATCTCTTCTCACCGCATCCCGTCTCTTCTCTGCCCTCTCTTTCGTCTTTCCTCTCAGTATCATCTTCTTTCCCAGTTGCGCACTTCGGTTTTTTCTGCCCACTTCCTATTCCCTTCCCGCATCGCTTTGAATACAGAGCGGGGGCGTAAATGGGGTTTGTTGGAATGTGTCTGATCATACAGTCAACGCGCCTAGTAGGGGCGCGCGCCTTCATCTAGGGTGCCCTCGTGTCCTTGCCTCTGCGGCTCGTCCTTTGCCGTTTTCACTGGTCGCCCGACGCCCAAAAAATACCAATTTCGGCCTCTCAGAGTTTTGCGTCCTTCACACCCGTCCTTGATACACGTTTTGAATGAATCCAGCTGCCTGCGGCCAGCCCCGCCACCGTGCCAGCCCAGCAGTCTAAGTGGCAGCTGTTCGATCAGCGCACGGGACGCCGTCACGTGCGAGATCTCATGCCCCGACGTCTGGCAGAGCCGTGACGTGTAACACTGTCCTCCTCGTGGTGTTGGGGCTTCTCTCCTCGTGTTCGTCGTCGTCGTCGTCCTCGTCGTCGCCGTCGCCGTCGTCGTCGTCGTCGTCGTCGTCGTCGTCGTCGTCGTCGTCGTCGTCGTCGATGGAGCGGCAGCCTACCCGAGAATGAGGACGTCCACGCACGGAGGCAGGAGGGACCCAGGCACACTTCACCACCCACCAAACCAACCCGAAGGCCTCAATTTGCCCTCCATTTCCAGTGGGGGGGGGTCCAGGAACATCGAAAAAACACACATGGAGCCCATACCCCCCTCCCAACCCGAAATTCGGGTCTTCGGGTTGGGTTGGGGTGGTCTGGTAGGTAGGCACACCGGCCGCAGCCGAAGGAGCGGTGCCTTGGGCGATGGCGCGCGGTGGAGCCCACGAGGGCACGTCCGCGGGCGGTGGCGAGGAGCTGCCGGCAGGGCGCGGGGCGGCTGCCGCCGAGGCCGAGGCCCTGGGCGGGGGCCCCGCAGCCCAGCGGGCGCCACGAGGCTCGCGATGGCCAGGTTGGGGATCGTGGTGCCGTCGGCCTTCTGACGAGCGAACAACTCACACCCATACCCATAGGAGGGTCGAAAGGAGGGAAAGAGCATGTTCTACCGCTGCTGGCGGAAAACCGGGGGGGGGGGTCACTACCGGTTCGAAAACCCCCCCCCCCCCCCCCCCTCCAGAAAACCGGGGGGGTCACTCGGTTCGAACCCCTCCCCCCCCCCCCCCTGCTCATCATGAAAAGGGGGGGGGGTCACTACCGGTTCGAACCCCCCCCCCCCCCCCTCCGGATCCGGAAAACCGGGGGGGTCACTACCGGTTCACACCCCCTCCCCCCCCTCGAAAACCGAGTGGGGGTGCGGACAGTGGTGGGGACGGTGTTGGTGGGGACAGTGGTGAGGGGACAGCGGGACAGTGGTGGGGACAGTGGGACAGTGGGACAGTGGTGGGGACGGTAGTGGTGGGGACAGTGGTGGGGACAATGGTGGGAACAGGGGGGGACAGTGGACAGTGGTGGTGACGGTGGTGGTGGGGACAGTGGTGTGGGGACAATGGGAATGAGGTGGAAACAGTGGGACAGTGGAGGGTACAATGGTGGTGGGGACAGTGGTGAAGGCGGTGGCGAGGACGGCGGTGGGACAATGGGACAGAGGTACAGTGGGGACAGTGGTGGGGACAGTGGGGACAGTGGTGGGAACAGTGGGACAGCTCAGTGGGACAGCGGAGGAGTCAGTGGGACAGTGGGGACAGTGGGGATAGTCGGGCAGTGGTTGGGGCCGTGGAGACAGTGGGGAGAGTGGAACCGTGGTGGGAACAGTTCTGGGGACAGCGGGGACAGTGCGACAGTGGTGGGGCCACTGGTGGGGACAGTAGGGGCGGTGGTGGAACCAGTGGGGACAGCGGTGGTGAGGACAGTGGTGCTGGGAACACCAGTGGGGGATGTGATGCGGACGGTGGTGGGGACCGGGAGTCGTTTGCTGGCGGTGAGTAGGGGGGGGGGGGGGGGGGGGGTTCGAACCGGTAGTGACCCCCCCGGTTTTCCGGATCCGGAGGGGGGGGGGGAGGGGTTCGAACCGGTAGTGGCCCCCCTTGGTTTTCGAGCGGGAGGGGGGGGGGGGGGGGGGAGGGGTTAGGGGAGGGGGGGGTTTTGCCGGGGGAGGGGGGGGGGGGGGAGGTGTTCCAGCGGGGGGGGGATTTTCGGAGGGGGGGGGGGGGCGACCCCCGGGTTCCGGAGGAAAAGGTTGGCAATTTTCCACAGTAAAGCGGCGGTGGATCACGCTCTCTCAAAGGAGGGGAACTGGCTATGGGTATGGGTGCGAGTTGTCGGACCCTGGGGGAAGCTCCCGTTCGAGCGGGGACCCCCATCCGACAACACGCACCCATAGCCTCCTCCGTCCCCCCTATGGGTATGGGTGCGTGTTGTGCGATCGTCCCCTTCGAGCTGAGGTTGCCGACCGGCGAGGTCCTCGACCTGCAGTGGCTGGGGCCAGGGCTCGCAGGAGGCATTCGGCAGCAAGCCGTGAGAGCCTGGTATACTCTTCTTCATGCCGCCTCAAGCTTCGGCTGGCGTCGATCAGCGTCTGGGAGTCGATGAGATAGCGCCGATCCAGCGTCTGTTCGCGTCGAGGAACGTCGATTTAGCGTCGACTGGCGTCGATTTAGCCTCGACCAGCGTCGACTCGCACCGAGCGGACCAGGTTGCACGTCGGGCTCCCGTGAGTTGCCACCGAGGGCGACATGGCTTGCGCAGCGGCGAGGTGGGTGGCAGGTGCGCGGGCGCGGCCCAGCCTCGGCGGGAGGTCGGCGTGGGGAGGCCCGGTCCGGTGGCGGCACCGCGGGGAGCCGATGGGCGAGCGAGGGGTCGGAGACCTGGGGCGTTCAACGCACAGGAGTCTGCGGCGAGCGAGGGGGGGGGGAAGTGGAGGAGGGGAAGGCCTTCCCAGGAGGCTCTGCACCCCCCCCGGGGCCTACTGAGACGTTTTCGGAGCCTTCCCCGAAGACGCAGAGCACTTCTCAGAAGGCCCGAGGACTTCTGAAAGGTCCCGCCGTCTTTTGAGAAGGCCTTCCCCTTCTCACTTCACGTCTCGCTCGCCGGGCGAGCAGGTGTCGGAGACCTGGGACGTTAAACACAAGAGGGCGCTGAGGTGCGCAGCAGGAGGCTCGACATGGACACAGGCGAGGCCGTTCGACAAGGGCCTGGCGGTGATGGACAAGTGCAGTTCGCGGAGATTTCCGTAGGATGGTTGAGCGGGTTCGAGGTGGCCTTCGAGAGGGCTTCAACGGGGTGGTCGTACCTCTTTTTCTTGATTACTTGCTCCTTCCATCCTCTTCGATGCCCTCCTCTTGTTTTTCTGTTGGTCTCGGGCACCTTTGCGTCCTGTGTACTGTTTACGTGGTATAAGAGACCCTACCAGACAGCCCTTGGCGTGCTACCGCGTCTCAGCGTGCGTGGAGACAGAGTGGCGGATTCAGTTGGACGAGAGTTCCACAATTGCAGTGCGGAGGTTCGAACAAGCCGCTTGAGAACCCGTCTCTCTCTCTCTCTCTCGTTCACTCTCTCTCTCTCTCTCTCTTTCTCGCTTCGTCCTCCCCTTCACTCCCTACGCGTGTCCTCACCCTTCTATCCCCCCTCCTGCCCCCTCCCATTTGACTTCGCCCTTGCCCTTCCCCCCTCCCCTGAGTCCACCTTCACAATTACCCACGAGTGCCCACTATGAGTACCACTCTCTTCTCTTTTCAGATCCTGTCCCAGCGTTCCCCGTCTTCCTGGCAGTGTGTGTGTGTGTGTGTGTGTGTGTGCAAGCGTGTGTCTGTGTGTGTGTGTGCGCGCGCATGTGTGCGCGCGTGTGTGTGTGTGTGTGTGAGTGTGTGTGTGTGTGTGTGTGTGTGTGTGTGTGTGTGTGTGTGTGTGTGTGTGTGTGTGTGTGTGTGTGTGTGTGTGTGTGTGTGTGTGTGTGTGTGTGTGTGTGTGTGTGTGTGCGTTCGTTCGTGCGTGCGTGCGTGCGTGCGTGCGTGCGTGCGTGTGTGCGTGCGTGCGTGCGTGCGTGCGTGTGCGTGTGTGTGTGTGTGTGTGTGTGTGTGTGTGTGTGTGTTTGGAACGCCATAAGAGGACGGCAGCGGACCCCGTAAGGCCTACCCGCCGACTCGGCCAGATGGCAACGTGTCCCCGCGTCACCGTGCGGCACCGCTTGGGCGCCAGGGCCACTCAGCACTTGGGCCGAGTGGCAGGCCACAAGGGCCTCCCGAAAAGCCAAGGATGGATAACTCCCAGGCGCGTTGGCCGGGGGGCCAGCGCGGGCAGCTTAGGCTCTAAGCCCTACGCATGCACAGGTGCCAGCCCAGGCGACGGGACCCCGGGACCCCCCAGCCACACGGGCCGCCCAGACCGACCGCCGACCGAGCAGGACCGAGAGAGACCCCGCCCCAGGGCCCCTAGAGGCCGCGAGGGGCGCCGCTACATACGCAGGCGGACCACTGGCGCCGGCGGGGCCGCTCGCAGTCCCTCCCAACCCGCACCCCGCTCCACCCGACGACGACTCCCCCTCCCCGCAGGCGAGAGCAGCAGCAGGAGGAGCAGGTGGGCGGGAGGGAGGCGTTGCCCCCTCGGGCGCCGTGCCACCGCTCGGCTCCACGGCAGGTCGCGCGGCGGGACGGCTCACCGGAGCCCCGCTCTCGGCCGAGGCGGCCGACGGCGCGGGTGCCTCCACGCCACGGATGCGCGCCGCGAGCCTCTCTTGCATCGGGCCGAGCGCCGCCAGGATCGGGCCAGCGCGGGGCGGCCGCGGCAACCTCTTGGGGCGCTTAGGCGCCGGGCTGAGCCCGTCAAGCGCCGCGCCAAGCGCCGGGCCGCCGGGCGACTGCGGGTGACCGCGCTTCCGGCACAGAATGTGGGCCTCGGCGCCCGCGGGCGGGCGGCCGGCGGCCCCCGGCGCTCCCCCGGCGGCTCCCCCGATCCGCGAGGCGGGGCTGGCGTT